TTGTGTCGGGAAGGTGAGCATCATGGAATGCCAGTTTAATAGAACAAAATATTCTCGCATTGAGGGAGTACTTGAGTGGAGGCCCAATGTCCATCTACCTTAATATTAAACCTATAAATATATGCACATAGATCTATTTCCCCATCCTCATATATAAATATATTTACATAACTACATGCCTTTATTTACACCTCTATAAATGCCCTTTGCCTCCTAGCTCTTTTCTCTATTTCCGTTGACTTTCCTCTTGTCCCACTATCAGGCTCAGTCTTCATTTTGGTGTCAGTAATTCCTCTTGGTTACATTGCCCTTGATTACACCCTACCAGGCCTCCTACACTCCTCACCACCAATTTGGATTACTTGTTGTTCCCTTGTCACTGGGTGGGTTAACACCACTTCCTTTCCCCCCACTGTTGGTGGGATTTTCACGTTTCCACCTTTTGGCTATTATAAACTACTCCATATAAGCCCCATTCAGCCCCAACACACATACACATACACACACACACACACACACACACACACACACACACACACTCCAGCTATTATAAACTACTCCATATAAGCCCCATCAAGCCCCAACACACACACACACACACACACAGACACTCCAGCAGTGAATCTTTTCTCTGCAACTTCTTTGACCCCTAGTTTGTGGGTTTATGGGTTTGACTTGACTTTGACGGGACCCAGTATAATCTGGAAGAGTTCATCTGATTAATAAATTCCCCCACTCTCTGAAAGAGAGCGTTCCCAAAATTGAGCATGTCCACATTGAAAAACAAAGACGACCAGCCTGCCAAGTCATACCATATAATGCATATAAATCTAAAGCAACACTGACGTATTGTGCTCACAGACAAGTTCAAAGCTATGGCGGCCGGATGCTGAGCTCTGAGCCAGGTTCCTGGGGACGGAGCTTGGCAAGGCCACTCTGGCTGCCTCGGCCTCTCTTACTCACTGCAAGACAGATGCCGAATGCTAGTCGTGCTGTTCACTTTTCTGGAAGAAGTGTAAATCCTCTTTAGTTATCTACTCTTTTTGTTGTTGTTAGCGCAAACAGATACTAATGTAGGATTTTCATAAATGTGAAGTGGCATGAAGCAAATTCTCTCAAAAGGCAGGCGGCGGGTACCTGGAGCTTCTTATTTTGGTCAAACTTTTAAATCGTTTTGAATTGAATCCTCCCACCCCGCCAGCCGTGGGGGATAAGTTCCAAGCCACCCGGTGGGGGCCGGGGGCCACGGGAGTGCTGGAAGTGGCCCACACTGCGCGTGCGTTGCCCTCTGCATGCATCCTGCACGGTGTGGCTTTATCAACCAGGCAACGTGTAAGGGGGGCACGGGGATGATCAGGACGTCTGGAAACTTTGTCAGGGTGCTCACCGAGCACTCCGGGTATGCTAGAGTAAACCAGCCTCTAACAATCACGGGGTTTGTGGGCACAATGATAGGGCTATAATTATAAAGATTATAGTAAAATCACAGAGAATAGGAGAGGTAGGAGAGAAGATAAAATACTGGAGTCAGGCACATTTCATGGTAGCATGCTCACCTCAGCCCCTCTTGGTGGTCCACGTGGAGGTGGGAGAAGAGAGAGGGCATCTTTACTGTCTTGGGGCATATATAGGTAGCCATAACTCATGCATATTCAGGAGTTACATACATCACATCGCCAGCTGGGTGGTAATCACAGTAAAGTCCCTGAGCTCACAGGTGAGGAAACCTAATACCTGCACTGGGGGAAGGCCTGAGGGGGGCTGGGTGCCGCAGTGGGAGATCATCAAGGAATGTCTGCTTCTATAGGGAGACAGAATCAACCATGTGCATCGCTGTTAGGGGAGAATCTGTGGGAATAATGTTTAAAGCAGGGTAATGTGCTTGGACTTTACCTCTAACTTACCAAAGTGGTGTCTTTCCCACGGTGGAATATTAGCTTTCCAGATTCCCGTTAACAGTTAGGGACTATAGTCCTGGTCATATCTACCTAAGTGTTAGTTTCCCACACCGGTGGACCATGAGCACGGAAACTTAGGACTGTGGCCCGGCAGAACAAGAACATTATATGGGTAACCTCAAGCCTTTTCTATACGGCTTTTCAAAAGAGCAAGTTATGTCCAAAATACAAAAGCATTACTTTGCTGAGCATTCCTTCAAATATCTATGCCATCTCTTCTTTTCTCCCCAGCTTTAAAAACAGTAACTGTGCTTTCGGTGGAAGCTGACAGAGCAGGTTACTTTATCCCATCAACACACACACACTGTTCACACACTGCTGGTGAGACCTTGCCATGAGGCAGCACTCCCCCCTCCTTCCTGGTTCCATCTATTTGGGTCCCTGTCCCTTCTGGCTTCTCATCTTTGGTTCTGGGCACATGTTGCCCTTTGGGTCTTGTCCAGTCAGTTGTTCTAAGAAGCATATTCTTCATGCCCAATTCTTAACAGGCTACCTGTCTGGGCTTTTTAGCTGGAGGCTTGCAGGTATATCCGTATATATCCTCCACTTCCAATCACCTGCCCGCCGAGTGTCCCGGACCAGGGACTGTTACTGAAGTGGCCCAACCTGATAGCGCACGGGGAACTGCAGGGGCTACATCGGAAAAGGTAGGAGGGCAGCAAAGGGAGCCGACAGACCAGGAAACGAGCACGAGCCGTACAAACAGCCTTGCACATGGTCTTCCTTTGCTCCCATCGTTCCTTGGATCACTGTGAACACAGGCCTGGACACAACGGAGAGGCAAGCTGCTGCTTCACACTAATGATTAGGTTTCATGCCAAGAGTCAAGAATGCTCGGTACAGGAAGTAGGTTATGGAATCTGGATTATGGTTACAAAGACTGCCCCAATATTAGCTCTTCCATAACTAAAATCTCTGGAAATAATCTTTTTACTTTCAACTATTGTATCAAATAATTTCATCCTGTAATTTCTTTCTTCAGTCATTCAGAGAACAGGTCCATCGTGCTTGGGTCCCGCCAATGCTCATGAAGGCGGCTGTCGAAGGCTCAGGTATGGGCCAGTCTACTGCACAAGACCTCTGCTGAAGAGCAAGGGCG